GTAACATTTGAGCCAAAGGCCAGAGTCAAGTGAGGGAGCCATCTAAGTGGATATCTGAAGGTAGTGTATTCCATGTGGAGAGAAAAGCAGATGTAAAACTTCCTTCCTCAGTAAGGAATGAGATCAGATAGGTAGTCAGGGGTCAGAGTGTAGTAAGGACCTTGGATTTTATTTAAAGACTAGAAGCCCAATGCATGAAACTCATGCATGGATAGGGTCCCTAGGCCTGGCCAGCAATCAGGGCCAATCGGGGCCTTCCTTCCCCCTGCTGCCAGCTGCCAGCCAGGGTCTTCCTTCGTTCCATGCTGCCCTCTGGTGGTCAGTGCACGTCATAGCAAGCGGTTGAACTCCCAGTCAGTTGAACTTCTGAGGGTACAATTTGCATATTAGCCTTTTATTATATAGGATTATAGGAAGCCTTTGGCGGGTTTGTACAAGACATGATTTTTGTTTTAAAAAGATCACTGACTGCAATGTGGGGAATAGACTATGAGGGTGAAAATTGGAAAGGGAGACTCTTAGATCAGTCAAGAGAGGATAGTGATATGGACCCGGCTGCTAGCAATGGAGGAGATCAGAAAGTGAATGGCTCTTGGGGTTAAGATGGTTAAGCCAATAGGATTTAATACATTTTAGGCATTGTATAATGATGAATGTGCTATATTCCTTAAAAATCAGAGAAACAAATATGTAGTTAGATAGATATCTGGATATAGATATGTATTTTCCCTTTTTCAGGTTTGATTACTCAGGAGTTGGACAATCAGAAGGTAACTTACAAGAGTCTACAGTAGGAAAATGGAGAAAAGATGTTCTTTCTATAATTGATGACTTAGCTGAAGGACCACAGGTGACTATTTTTGTTAAATATGATATCATTGTTGATGATACCCTCATGATATTTGAGCTGTTTCTTTGATATGAAAATTTATTTAAATTTTAACCAATTTTGATATTTGACTTAAAATTGTTCTGTCATTTTAACTTCCTCATAAAATGTAAGTACCATTTTACTTATCTTACCTATTTTATTGTCATAATTCTCCATTGTAGACCAAATACTTTAACAAAAAGTAATCATAATTTTAGTTCTACTTTGTATCGACTATTAAAAGTCTGGGAGCCAAAGGATATAAAAGAAAAAAAGTATATAAATTCTATTAAATTACTCACTACCTTTATAAAAAAGAAAAAAATTGCTCTTTAAAACTACACATATTTTCAATTTTAGATACTAGTTGGATCTAGCCTCGGCGGATGGCTTATGCTTCATGCTGCAATTGCACGGCCACAAAAGGTTGTGGCCCTTATTGGTATAGCTGCAGCTGTAGATGGCCTAGTGACAGAGTTTAATCAGCTTCCTGTTGAGGTAAGTCACAGGCATACCTCCTGTCATCCTTCTGCTTCCTCTTTCTTTGAATTTTTTTTCATGTGTCATCATTCCTGTGATGTACTATTTTGGCCCATCTTTTGTCTTAGCTGCTTTTTTAAATACCATCTCTTTGCTTTCTTTACTATTTAGTCTCTTGTTTAAGATTTCCTTTTCTTCAGTCTCTTCAACTCATTCTGGCAAATGTTGGAGCCATATTAATGGAATAACACTTTAAATGTCTTTTTTAAGCAACATTTTCTTTATTAATTGCATTAACTTATTTTGATCATGCATCATGATCTCTTCTTTTCCTCTTTGTGGCATGTGAAAAATAGTACCTATTCGTATGACCACATTAAACTTGACTAATCAATTATGACTTTTTTTTTTTTTTTAGCCTGTAAACAGCCTCAGATCCTCTCAGCAGAGCTCTCCAAGAATTAGCTCACAGGAGATGAGATAGCCAGTTCTGTCTTAGATCTTTAGTTGACATTCTTTTTTTACTCCTACTTCTCATCTTCAAAGAGAATACTTTTTCATTATTAGTATATTCCTCAGCAAAATATGGTAGAATGAGGTTTCTGAAATAACTGGGAAGGTAATTAATTTATTATACTTTATTATTGGACATATATTTAAGCACTTCAGTTGTCTGCAAGGGTAAAGAAATAGTGGGTAATAGTTGTTTATTTTTGTATATGTTATTTATTTATTACAATCTATTGTGTTTTCCTTGGGCATCTTTTCTTAGGGATCTAAATTTTACCTGTGGTACTAAGATCCTGGCAAGCCTGTGGCCCAGAAAATTAGAGAAAGGAAAATAGTCTAGAGCAGGGGCTTAAAAAGTATAGTCCCTAGGCCAGCAGCCTCAGCACCTGAGAACTTCTTAGAAAGGCATATTCTTATGGTTCTTGTCCTTTTTCATTTGACTTATTTCACTTAACATGACACTCTCAAAATTCAAATGTTGTTGCAAATGGCATTTTTTTTTATGGCTGAGTAGAATTACATTGCAAATATGTACCACATCTTCTTGATCTAGTCATCCATTGAAAGACACTTTGTTTCTGGATCTTGGCTACTGTGAATAGTGCCGCAGTGAACAGTGGACATAGAGGTGCCATGTAATTTCACGAATACCTAATCTAATAAAAGACAAACATGCAAACTGACTGTACCTTCACTATGCCTTAAGCCACGCCCACCAGCCAATCAGTGCGACTATATGCAAATTAACCAAACCAAGATGGCAGCCGGCAGCCACAGAGCTGGAGCAAGCAGGAGGCTTGGTTGCCCCAATGATGGAGGAAGCCAAGCTTC